AAGAAAGAAAGGGCATCGCAGAAGCGAAAATACAAACATGTGCGAACCAGGTCGTATGGTTCATCGCAGTCCAAGGAGTTCCCGGAAGAATCCGAGCCAGAAGAAGCGCAGGAGGAGCAAAAGGCAGCAAAGGAGGACGAGATAATACAGAAAGATGAAAAAGAAGAGATGAAACAGAAAGAGGAAGAAGAAGAGGCAGCACAGAAAGAAGAAGATGCTGACACTGAGGCATCGGTGGCATCAGAAGCTGCTGCAAAAGCTGAGTCGGACACTGAGGCATCGGAGGCAGAAGATTCAGCAAGTGATGGACTATGCGAGGAAGCCGTGGACGCATTCTTTCAAGCCATGGCCGCCTTGCAAGAAAGCCAAGCAGCGGAGGGGTGTCCAACAGCACCGGCTCAGAACAAGGCCCTGGGTACGCCTGGAACAAGCTCGAAAGCCGCGCCGCCTTTGCCCCAGCAGAGTGTTGCTACAGCACCACCACCATGGCGCACCCACAGCCCAGCAGTGCCACCACCGGCTCCATCGTCCTCAATCCCCCACGCAGAGCCAAGGGCAACCAGGTCTCGGATCACCTTTGCACAACCCATTGCCAGCCCCCAGTTCTCACCTTACCAGGCACAGCCCCAATCCCAAGGACAAGAAGCTCCGCTGGCCGCCCAAGCAGATCCTCAAGCCCAACTACAAGCTCCACTGGGACAAGCTTCAGTGGCCGCCCAAGCAGGTCCTCAAGCGGCCGCCCAAGCAGCCCAAGGACTACCTCCACTACCCCCCCCTCCACTACCCCCACCTTCCCAGGCAGATCACCAGTCCCAAGCACCACTGCCCGCCCCATCTTCCCAGGCAGCTCCCCAAAGACTTCGCCACCCTGCAGGACCGCAGCATGAAGGACATCTGTACGTTTCTTGTCAATTTTAAGTTCTTTGTATGTTTAATTGCAATTTTCTACACATGGGTGAAGGAAAAGGAAACGCAGGATACTCTATGACCACCACATTATGTTGTCATGGAAGTCTATTGGGTCCCTGATACATTAATGCGAGGCCACCCAAAGCATATGCGGCAAAGATGTTTTAGTTCACTGCGCTGAGGCTCAATTTGGCTCGCGCAGAGAGTTCGAGAGGCTGGTGCGAAACCAGTACCGCCGCCGAGGCGGAAGGCAACGCTCACGCTGACCTGGCATCCATGAGAAAAAAAGCAATAGCTCCAATCGGCCGCCTCGAGTTTGCACATAGGTTGTCTGGTGGTCGACTGGGGTTACATATATGGTGGTTTGATAGGGGTTGGCTACATATAGAATGGCTGGTGGTCCGGGGTTGCATATATAGGTTGGCTGGCGGCCCAATGGGCCGCCTCGAGTTTACATATAGGTTGCCTGGCAGTCCAATGGGGTCACATATGTGGTAGTTTCATAGTGGTTGGCTGGCGGCCCAATGGGCCGCCTCCATATGTGGTAGTTTCATAGGGGTTGGCTGGCGGCCCAATGGGCCGCCTCCAGGTTACAAATGTGTTGGTTGGCGGCCCCAGTGGAAAAAAACATATACTCTAGACCTTATGCAAGGGCCCTGGACCACAAGTATGTGTCATTCAAAACCAATGCATTAAACAAAAGTTTTGATTCATTTGCCATTGAATCATTCAAAAAACTACCATAGCTCCACGATATATCTAAATGCTCGGGTTGCTGACCAACAACTTCAGACATATAAAATCTGACTAGCCAATGGTTTTCACATATCACGAAAACACAAATGTATAAAAATGTATAAAAATGTATAAATCAATACGGGCAAAAATTTATACATGTATAAATCAACAAATTACCAAATTATACATGTATAAATCAACAAAAATACAATTTATACATGTATAAATTGATAACGGAATCGATTTATACATGTATAAAAATGTATAAAAATGTATAAAAATGTATAAATTCAATTCCTAAATTTTAAGCATTTTGCTTGTCATGCGACAAGCTTTTATCAAATACGATTGCT